TTTCTCTAATAATCAATTATAGTTCTAGTTATATTAATATTTTCTGTTAAAAAATCTTTGGTATGATATTATTGAGATTTGCATAATTTACTTTAGACATCAGTTGGGTACTTCTTAGCAAAATGGTTCAAAGCACTAAGTTTTGGCTGAATGAATGAGTAGTAGTCTACTGGCACAACATTATAGAGTGAACAGTAGGTTTCTTTAGGGTCTCTGTCATAAATAGGAAGTGGGAGCTTATGCTTTGCAGTTATATTGTTACATATTTAGACATGGTCTGCAAGTTTACCTCTAATGACTGCTGAAAAATTGAGCAATTCCAATTCCCAGATTCAAGGGGTTATGAAGGATACTCTGATTGAGCAAGAGTTTTGTCCCCAAAATAGACTGTCACATGGCATCCGACCGTAGTGTAGACAAAATAGGTCATGGAGCAGTAACTCCATTCGTTGTTTTTGAGGTGGACTGTGGGATGCTAGGTGTCACTATCTTCAGGGCTCTGTCTTTTTATGTCACTTTTCTGGCCTCGTAGGAGTTTCACAGATAACCTGATTTCACTTCTTTTTGCTCAGAGAGACAGAATACTTAACCACTCTATGCGCCTGTAGTTGCATTTCTGTTTAAGGATATCTCTTTGCCACATAGAACACAGAAAAATTGCAGTGGAGCTAGGTATTATCAGAAACAGAAAAATATGTAGCTGCAGAAAAATAAACAAATATTAACTTCAGATAATAGGGTACTGTTTTCTTTTTTCTTTTTTTTAATGCTGGTCAAGTGAAGCAGTGGGCGTGGAGAAGGAACAAAGGAATCTGTAACTGGTTGTGATCAATTAGTTGTAAACACCACTGCACTCGGACCAACCAATAGGGTATTTTTGATAACACTAGTTTAAATTATCATTGCATAATTTTTAATTAAGATCGCAGTTTCTATCTAATACCTGGAATAAGTGTTTCATCATGTGTTGAGCACAATTCGTAAAACGATTCATTTTGTAACCAACGGATTTATATATACGCATATACATATATGAATATATATATGGTTCATTTTAATAATAGCAATGTGAAGATAAAATATCTGACAATTGACTTATCTTGAAATATCCATCTAAGTAAAACATATTTAATATAAATTTTGTTTGTAATAGTTATGTAATTCGTGGGACATGATTTTATATATTGTATACATAATATATGTTATTATATATAGTAGAGATCATCTAATATGTTGACAGAGAGAAAAAGATGGTTTCACTTCTATAGGGATGACAGAAGTCCCAGAACCAGGAAACCTAAGCTATTTGTGTGAATGCATTAAATACTAAAATTTAATGGGTAAAACAATATAACATTGAGTCTTTATAAAAAGTTATTAGCAGAGTGCCATGTGAGCATGTACTATTGACGAATTCATTTATTTGGATCTGAGGTATATTCATTTACTATCAAACACTAGCTTTTCTGAAAAAAAAAAAATGGAAACTTTTTACAGTCAGCATGAAAACAGAAATAAGCCAAATAATTATTGTAATGATGGAAAGAGTTGGAAATGCAACGTACAATTTCATATTAAATCAAAGTCAGAGTGTTTTTTGGCCTGGTTTGCTAATGCTTTCTGCAACCGTAAAATTTGGCTGCAACAGGAGCAATCCAATACTGGTGAGAAAACACTGGGATTATTACCACTTTTTCAAAAGGGAAAAAGAAGAAGTCAAAGGAGTAGAACCAATGCATGTAAAGCAGGGACTGTTTACTCCCGTAACGATTGAAGAATCGTGGCTATTTTGGATTAGAACCGCAGCCTGCGGACCAGGAGTTTGCCATTTGTGTTAACATCCTCGGGCTCTGAAAGGCCTCACCTGGCAAGTGTTCGGTTGGGCAGAGGCAAAACGGCCTCTCTGTTTTTGGCTGTGTGCTGACATTCACAGCCTGTTGCTAATTCTTGCTCAGCCTTACAGGGGATGGGACCAGGAAGCAAGACAGTTCATGTCAAAACAAAATAAACCAAATGCCCTGCTTTTCTTCTAGACATAGCTCCTATATTCACTATTAAAACCTAGGATTCATAATACTAATGGTGGGTACAGGAGCCTTCAGTTCTTGCAAACCCCTCTCTCCCTAGCCACCCCTCCCTTGCCTGGCCTCTCTCTTGGCCAACATAGTAATGGTTTAGTTCCATGAGAGACTCTGAAAAGAACTTGACTTTAAAATATTAGGTTTGTTTTTCCTCCTGCTTTCCTTGGATTTCTTCTCTAAGAAGATAAAGAACGAAAAAAATATATATTCTTGGTGCAAAGTCACTGTTTCCTTGAACCTAAAAGCCTTAAAAGTACACACTGCACAAACACAGTGACAGTCTGGATGTTTTGGGATGAGAAACCAACCTCATCTTTAAAAGTATTTTCTTATTTTAAGGTGTACTTTCTATTCAATACAATTCATCCTCCCACAATATCCTTCTTCGATTATTTGTGAAAAATATGAGTCCCTTTAGAGTTCGAAACCCTCATTGCATGGACAATTTTTTCTGTGTATTTTGTCTTCTGAAAATATTCTCTGTTTACGATGCTGTCAGTTTTTAACAATATTTAGGATGGATTAATAATGTGACAAATCCAAAGATTTATATTTTTCTCTTCCGCAGTTGAATTATTTTGAATCTCATACTTTTAATTGTTTTCAATTGTTTTTGTTTTTGTTTTTTTTTCCTTAAAAAAAAATAAGGGATGCGTTAGAGCAAGAGTTACTTTTGTTTTCATACACGACATAAATTGTCTTTGGTTGCTTTTTTTCTAGGAGTCAGATTAAAGGTTATCTCCCTCAAAACTTCAAACTGGTCACTTGGCTCTGTACGGAATAAATAACTTTGTTCTGAGGTCTTACTTATGTCTGGGTAAAGCCAGCAGCAATTACGGCTGAGGGCTTTGCATTTGCATAAACTGCACCTCAGAGGAAGTTAATGTACAATAGCTTATTGCTAGAATCTGTGGCAAATTTGAGTTTTTATTTCTCTATACACGTGTTTGTTGGGCCATCTAGCTGAAAACATATCAGCAGTGTTCCAAATAGAAGTACGTGTGTGTCTAATTATGTGCATAAACAATAGGCCAAGATTGCAACATCTGGTACTTTTGTGCAATCCTGAATACCTGACTTCAGGCTTCCCAGCAGGGGGGACCATTTTTTGGACAAGGGTACAGTGATACTCCCAGGGCTCAGATGACAGGGATTGTGAATTAGCTTGTTCTCTTCAGTCCTCAGGGACTCAGGAGACTGCTTTTCCGGTTCATGTTCATTTTTCTCTTAACCTTTGTACAATGAACTTCTGTGTGTGTTTTTTTTTGTCTTTCATTTCTTCTCTTTCTAAACAAAGTTGGTATGGAGGGGATGGTGTGGTACCCTTTCCTATTGTAATAATTCTTCCCTTTTTTGGAGTTAATTATGCCCCCATCAATGTTTTCCTCCTCCCTCCAGTGATTACTTTGCAGGATCATACATTTCTAAGGCTGGACAGGAATTTGAGGGGCAACCTTGGGAACAGAGACCTGACATTTGCTGGTCAACTCCCATGAGGTAGGCTCTTTATACACACTCTCTGGGTGAACTTCCTGCCCTGAAGTCTTCAGACTTGAGAGATAGAGAGCTAGGACGAAACACAACCAATAGTCTAAGCCATTTTTCCGTTATATTCAAGAGGCCCAGAGAGGTGAAGCGATTTACCTAAGTTCCTATACCTTCTTGGCTGGCGCTACGTGGGGGTAAGGAGTAAATCATCGTCATAAGAACAATAAAAACAAACTGTTCCTCTGAGAGAACAAATGTTTTGCAATTGCAGATACACTTCTTTAGCTATAGTATAAGCCAATTCTATTTTTACTCTCAGTAGACAATTAACAGTTAGTTGTTCCTGCATAAATGTCCAAGGATAATGTCGTCTCATATATACACATAGAATCTTGTCACAGGGCTGTGCAACGCCCTCCCCATCCCCTGCCCCAGCACACGCACACACAGCCAAGTGTGTTTAGTATTAGAATTCTCTGAATTGTGGGCTAAAGACACTATTTGGAATGATCCAGATTCCAATCTGGTTTCTGCCCACTGGACAAGGCTACTCCGAGACAGTGTGGGAGGTGACCAGAATGTCAGTGTGAAAGCCATTGGCCTCTGTGTGGTCAACCAGAGGGAATTGTATGAATCAGTGGGAAGAAATAATGAATTGCTCGTAAGAAAATTATATGAGAAAGTACTGGGCAAGACTCAGTGGTAGTCAACACAAGAGACTCTGGCACTATTTCAAAACAGATGCTTCTAGATTCCTGGTGGAGGAAGGAGGGGTACAATGTCTTCTCAAATTTCTTTTTTTCAAAACAGTGAAATAAAAATAAAAGAATATGGATAAAATAGCTTCTACCCACATGATACCACAGACATAGCAATACTATATTTCCTAGAATTCTTTTGGATTAATAAATTCCTTTCCACTGCAAAGAGTTTACAGTTTTGTCCTGCTTTTTTTTTTCTAAATTATCCATAGAATTTCTGTCTCTTTTAGATCAATTCAAGATCCAACAGGTCCAGAAGAATTCCTCCAACAATTCAAGTCATCTTTGACCACAATTTCCTTTTGACATTAAAACATACTATAATCTTTTTTTAAAGAAATGTCTTTTTCTCTATCCCCTCCAAAACCTTCAGGATTTAAATTTTACTTCTCTTTCTGCACTTTCGTTTTTTTGTATACTAGTGATTTGAGGTCCGTGTTCATATTTATCTCTACAACTAGGATGTAAGATCTTTGAGAACAGATGTCTCAGCAGACATCAGGACTTTGCATCTCTGTACCCAAAGACTCCATGCCGTGCCTCTATGTAATATCATGCCAGCATATGTTGCAAAACAGATAAGGTCTTGCTTAATTAAACATTTGCATGAGCCTAACTCATCTTTTCAGTAAGATTGTAAACTCTGCAAGAGCAAGAGCTCTGCATTTGACTCCCTCTGGTATTTGGCAAATGGTGGATATTTAAAATAAATATGGATCAGTTGAAATAAGACAAGAGACAATCATCACAGTGGGCGAGAATCTGGGCTGAGCATATGTGAGTATCCTGTTACTACCAACTACTACCAATGACCGAATAGGTACTATTTGATAGACAGTGCCTTAAGTAGTTTTTAGGAATTATCTGATTTAGTTGTTTCTCCTACTCTATGATATAGGTATATACTATTTCTATTTAGAAGCAAGAATACCAATTGCCATTGACGATAAAAAAAAAAAAATAGAAGCAAGAAAATTGAGATACAATAAGGCAAGTAATTTGCCCAAGTTCACCCTACTCAGAACTAACATAACTGGCATTGCACCCAAATTGTCTAACTCCAAGATTAAGTCATTATCCATTAGTACTCTAAGTAATATATTGTCCAATATAACTCTATAATAAAGTTTTGCTTTTTTATAAAGTTAAAATTTACACACAGCACAATTCTTCCTCTGTGGGCACAGCTCTGTGAGTTTTGACAAATGCATGTAGTCATGCAACCAGCAACAAAATGAAGATACAGACTAGTTCTGTCATTAAAAAATCCCCGTGCTGCCTTAAAGTCAACTCTTTCCTGGCAGCCACTGGTCTTTTTTCTATCCTTAGGGTTTTGCATTTTTAAAAATGGAATTATATAATGTGTGGTCTTTTGAGACTGATTTCTTTTCCTTAGAGTGATACTTATGAGATTCATTCATGTTGTGGCTTATACAGCAGCTCATTCTTTTTCATTGCTGAACAAGAGTATTCCATGGTCTGGATGCACCACAGTTCATCCACCTACAAGCTGAAGGGTAAGTGGGTGGTATGTAGTTTTTGGTGTTATAAATAAAACCACTGTAAACATTTGCATACATGTTTTTGTGTTAACATAAGCTTTTGTTTTGCTTGGAGTAATACCCAAGAGTAAGGTTGCTGGGTCGTATAATAGGTATATGTTTAACCCTATGAGAAACCACCCAACTTCTTCCAGAAGTTGCTTTACCATTTTGCACTTTTACCAGCAATATATACCTCTGAATCCTCACTGGTATTTTGTATTGTCATTTTTTTTTTTAGTTTAATCTTTTTTTTTTTAGTTTAATCTTTTTAATAGTTTTATAATTTTAGATTTTCCATTTAGGTTGATGGTTCACTTTGAATTTTTTTTTATTTTAAAAATAATGCAATGCAATGATGATGGTATTTGTTTGTTTTGCATATGGCATGTTCAATTGTTCTAGCACCATTTGTTACAAAGATTATCCTTTTTCCATTTAGTAGTCTTTTTCCTTTGTCAAAATCAATTGACTATAGATGTGTGAATCTCTTTCTGGAAACTCTGTTCCAGGGATAGCAACTTTTTTTATCAAAGAACCAGAAAGTAAATGTATTAGGCTTTATGGGTCATACAATCGTTGTTGCAAGTACTCAACTCTACCATTTTAGCATAAAAGCAGCTGTGGACAATAAATAAATGTATAATTTTAGCCATGTTGCAATGAAATTTATATACAGAAACCAGTTGTGGCCTGAATTTGGCCCTGGGGCTGTGGTTTGCTGATCCCTGCTCTATTCTGTTTCTTTTATTTATCTATCCATTTTTATGCTAATGCCATTCTGTCTTGATTAATGTAGCTTTACACTAAGTCTTGAAATTGGATAGAATGAGTCTTCTAACTTTGTTTAGAAAATTGTTTGACTATTTGCCTTTCTACATAAATTTTAGAAACAGCTTGTCAATTTCTACATCAAATCCTGCTGGGATTTTGGTTGGAATTGTGTCAAGTCCATAAATTAATTTAGACACAATTGATATCTCAGCAAATTCGAGTTTGAGTTTTTCCAACTACCAACATGGTACTTTTTTTTTTTTTTTTTTGAGACAGAGTCTTGCTCTGTTTCTTGGGCTAGAGTGCCATGGTGTCAGCCTAGCTCACAGCAACCTCAAACTCCTGGGCTCAAGTAAGTAATCCTCCTGGCTTAGCCTCCCGAGTAGCTGGGACTACAGGAGAGCACCACCACATCCATCTAATTTTTTCTATTTTTTTTAGTAGAGACAGGGTCTCACTTTTGCTCAGGCTGCTCTCGAACTCCTGACCTCAAATGATCGTCCGGCCTCAGCCTCCCAGAGTGCTAAGGTTACAGGCGTGAGCAGCCATACCCAGCCTTATCTCTCCTTTTTTAATTTTTATTGATCTTTTATCAGTGTTTTATGGTTTTAAGCACATATATTTTGAACATTTTGTCAGATTCATACCTAAGAGTTTCATCTTATTGTACTTTAAAAATTTCAATTTTCAATTGTTCATTGGTAGTAGATATAAATGTGATTGGGATTTGCTTATTGACCCTATATCCTATGACCTGGTAATCTCACAATTAGTGCTCATAGCTTGTTTATAGATATTTTAGAATGTTATACCTAATTATGTCATCTGCAAATAGTTTGGTTTCTTCTATATCCATTTTATTACTATTATTATTTTCTTTTTTTATTGCACTGGGTAGGGCCTTCAATTTGATGCTAATGGGAGTAGTAAGAGAGGATGGATTTATCGTCTCAACCTTAGGGAGAAAGAATTGAATCTTGCATCATTATGTATGATGTTAGCTATAATGTTTTTTGTAGACTCCTTTTCTTCTTGAGCAAGTATCTTATTCCAAAATTGTTGAGAGTTTTATCATGCACAGATAATGAACTTTGTCAAATGTTTTTTCTGTATTTATATGATGCTAATATGCTTTTCCTTATTCATTATATTGATAAGGTGAATCACATTAATTTTTGAATGTGGAACTAGTCTTTCATTCCTTGGGTAAACCCTCCTTGGAATATTGTATTATCCTTTTATATAATGCTGGATTTGATTTGCTAGGATTTTGTTGACATTTTTGCTGACTGTCTAAATCCTATTCCATATTCCTAGTCAGAGAGGCAGCCTTTCTTTCCCAACCTTCCTTAGTTATTTTGAGGCCATGTGATTCCTTCTGGCCAGTTGGACAGAGTGATTTATGTTCTTTTAAGGTTTAAAGCATGAGTTATCTCCCTCTCTTTCATCACCTGCCAAGGTGACTGTGCTGATACTGTGAAGCCTCAAGCTGGAAACAGACCCAATCCTTGAGTCACTACTCAGAAGAAAGCGTCCCTGGAGAAACCTTGGACATGCAGCACATTTTGGGTGAATAGATAAGAAGTTTTGTTTATTAAGTCATTGAGATTTTAGGGTTAACTTTTTAATACCATATAAACTAGACTGTCCCATCAAGTAAAAATATAAGATTTTAGTGGGTTATGTAAGAAAAAAATAAGATAGCTTAAAGGTGATTGTTATTTGAGATAAACTACCTTAGTTTAAGGCTACACATCTGTTATTCAGAATTGTCACCAATCTCAATGTAACATTTAATTTAACTGTTTGAAAAAAAAATATCCTAATGAATCACATCTTCCAAGACTTAGTCAGAAATAAAAGTGGGTATTCACTCAACATTTTAAACTGAAAATTTTTTCTACAATGACAACTCCTAGAGCAGTTGGTCCATTTCCAAGACATAGGAATACAGAATTAAGATTTCCAACCTGACTATTCAGTAGAGAGATTCAGCTAGCTAACCCTTGTCAGATCTAAAAATAATCATCTGTGATATTAGGCAAGGCCAAATAAGCAAAATGAAATCTCTCAAAACAATTTATATATGAGTCACTTATTGATCACACCTTAATAACTAGAAGGAACAATAGACAACTGCACTGTAATGGCTTTATCTCTGCCCTAAATGATGTTTTTTTTTTTACTTAAACCATTTGAATTAGCTACTGAATGCTACGTAAAAAGAGCAGAAGGACCAATAAGCTTAATAAAGTGCCACCAGTCTTAAATTTTAGTTTATCTTGCATTGATAAAATGAGAGCTAGTGATAGCCACCATTTTACAGTTATATGCATTAAATGAAAGAAAATGGAGCAAATGTACAGGGAAATTTATGCCCAATTATCAGTTGGCTAGTGAAGCATTTTTCTTAATGTATGATTAGAATTTTGAATGTGTGTAATATGGAAATGATAAAAATCTCAAAAACTAGCATCTCACGTAACACACAAATTTTATGTTATCATATAATGTTATTTTATCAAAGTATCTTAATAAATTCCTAGAGAATAAATTCAGTTGTGATCCTTCTAAAGATTTTTTAAATAACCTCAAAAACACTGAGATGAAAGTTTTGGACAGTTCTGTGCTTTCAGTAGATGGCGCTGCCACGTGTAATCAGATTGACACATGGGGTGTAACAGTAAGTGATGTTCTCAAACGGACCTGGAGGTTGCCCAGGTAGGACTTTCTCCAAGAGCAGTTCCATTTGGGCATGGAGACTATAGATTGTATTTGCAGAAACCGCCTGTGCAGTTCTAAGGTAATCAACATCGTAAGCACTATTCTTAGCTACATGTGCCATTTGGGAATACATAAGCAGATGTTGAACTTGTATTGCTTCAGGGTTGTAAATCTCAGTAGCAAGAGTCATGCTCCGTCCCCAGAAAGAGTGGGACTGTGATTACCCGCCGTACATTTTCCAGATGTTTCCCCTTGTCTGCTGTTATCACCTTCATCTTGCCAGGTTATATTTCTCTTGGCTTTTTTTTTTTTTTAAGTTTCTTTTAATTAGAAAAACTGTCCCCTCAAGTTTAGACATTTATGAATTCTCTTCAAACTATGACTTTCATAAAGTATAGGATAAAATATAAAAGTACACAAAGTTTACTGGGCTGGTGAGAATTTGATTGGAGAGGAGTATGACTGATCTCCCCATGCCTCCCTTTGTACCCAAGGGAAAATTTCACAAAATCCTGTGTATTTTAAACCCTTATGGATATCAAAAAGGAGGATAGATCTAATCCCATTGTAAGACACTTTTCTGGAGGTTTCTAAGATTAAAAGGGAGAGATAAGTCCTTCACCAGCCCTTTGTCAGTGGTTAACTCCCAGTCTTCTCATTTCACCCTTCCCTTCCCCTCTTTTCTTCTTCTTTTTCGGTATAATCTACACTTAGATTCCATGAAGTTATCAATCTCATATAATATTGAGGGGTGACTGAAAGCAGGATAATCCTATGGTTCCTTAATCTTCAAGGAAAAATTTGCTAATCTAAATAAATATTGACCTTTCAAGAAAGATTTTTTTCTTTTAAGAAATTAACTTTCTGATGCTTGCACTGGATACACGATCCCAGCCTCTACTGTCAGTCAGGAAGTAAAATACATATATCGACATCATTCAGTAGAACATAATTCAGCCAGTGTTTCTATCTAAAGGTAAATATAATCTACAAAACTTAGTAAAACCAAAAGGTAGTCACCCTATGCTCAGGATTTCTGTGGCTGTGGGTTTACGCAAAGATGTTCCAAACCATAACAGATAATTAGTAATATGGACTACCTGTAAAGTTCATATACTAACCTAACCTAATGTTATGCTGCCTAACTGCTACCACTATGCTGCTACCACTATAACTGCTACTACTACTACCACTGCTAAGATTATCACCACTAGTAATATCTGAACATTGTATAATCCTTTATAATTTATTTTAAAACTGTCTGAATGCTTTTATTTAATATTAAGTTATTTTTAAGCAACATGAAACTAAAATCAGAAGAAAGAGTAGGCTTAAGCACCAGTATGTCTTTAGTTTACCAGGAGTGAGAGGAAAGGGTTTTCATGTTATAGGTTTTCATGTTGGTGGAAACCTAGCTGGATCATTAATTTTGGTGTCCGTTCTGGTGGTAATATCAAACTAGCAAAAGCTTCTGAACAACTGCATATGCTTTACACAAGCCCTGATATTAGCTATATTGACTTATCTTGGTGCAAAAAATTCTAAGTGCAAGGCCAGCTTAGAACCAATGCAGTTGAACCAATGCAATCTAATACCCAGCTGTATTACCCAGAGACCACTATTGATCTATCTGTGACCAAAGTTCTCAAAACTGTAGTTTGTCCTCACTTATTTTTAGCCAAAATTATTAGTCTTCTATCATTCTTTAGTGTCAAATATCTTTCTGTTGCACTTGACACTTTATATGCTGCCCCTTTGAGTAGGCTCTTGTCATTGACGATTCTCTACTTCCCTGCTTCTTTCTTAACTCTCTTTCTCTTACAACTGCAGCTGCGTTCTCTGAATCCTGTTCCTTCAAAGTTATAGCCTCAATGCTTTTCTCTCCTCCATAGACACACTCTCTTTTTGAAGATACAGTTTCAGGTCTTTAACTATCCCTTTTAAGATCATGATAAATAATTTATCTATATTTTTATTTTAGTTCCCTTCCAATATTTCCAACCCATACAGTGTCATTAAATAGTATACATTAAATATATTGAATGATTGCTGTGATTGTGGGGGTTACAAAAAATATATAAAACCTACATCTTGGCTTCCAGGAGCTTACAAGTTTTCATGGGTGAGTTATAAAAACCAGCCACATGATATACTAACTTTAATAAGCGACTTTCTCCTCAAAAACATGGACAAAAAGCAAACTTGTCATCTCCTACATCCATTAACATCTCCAATCCTCATGCAGCCCACTTAATCTCTTGAGAATTGTCTGTCCTAATTCGTCTTTGAACTATCAAAGGCAACCAGTTTGATATTCTGCTGATATTTCTTGTGAAGTATGCTTGTATTCAACATTATCTCTCTACTTAAGCTGTTCTCTTCACACTCAGATTCTTGATATAACTTCCCAACTCATCTCCCAACTTGCTCATTCTCCTATTCCACACTAGCTTGTTAACTGATGCTAAGTTATTTTCTTAAAGACTTCTCAAATGCCAAGAGTATTTCCCTTACAAAACTTGTGTGCCTTCCCATTCTATTACCTTCTCATACCAAACTCTATTTATTCAGTATCACCT